CATCCAGCCCTGGAGACAGCTGCTAATGAACCAGTGCAAGTGAGATTGATGGCAGGCCTTGAGGGAAGCCATTCCTCACCACTCTGCCTGGCACACACTTGTGCTGGCCCCACACTGGAACAGGAGCCCACACTGGCTCCCCACAGTGCCCTCATCTTGTGGGTGCAGCAGCCCTGCCTGGCCCCACACCATGGCTGCAGGAGCTCACATCTCCCCTGCAGCACCAGTGGCAGAATGGAAGGGGCACTTGGGGACACGGTGGCCTGTTGCTGCCAGCGGGGTGACCCTCACCCACAACCGGATCTCGAGGGAGGAAAGAAGGAAGTGTGAAGCCTTCCCTCCCCCTCCAGCCCTTCCTGGTGTCGAAATACTGGAGACACGAGGCAGGAAGTGGCCTCTGCTGCTGCGTGGGGCCTCATGCCAGAGCTGGCAGCCCCAGTGCCCCTGAGCCTGTCATGCTGCCACACAGCCACATCCCATCTCTCCTGCCCTCTCCCTGTCGTGGATCCCATCCCTTAATGAGCTTGTTAGGCACCCAGCCAGGGCTAACAATGGCTTTATTGGGTGGTCAATAATTGAGTGGGGTCTGATCTTGATTGGGAAGATTTATGAGGATTTAATTCCCCTACTCGTCAGAACAAGATCCGATGGCAACACCATTGATTGCCTTTGAACCCAGGGCAGAGAATTCAGGGGTTTTGCCAGCTCTCATGCTAACAAGGTCAGCTGGCAGATCTAATTAGCTAGAGCCACGTTAGAAGGGACCTCCAGGGATAATGGAACCACCAGCAACCACACCATACGCAGTGGCACAACCCCGTGGTGGCGGGCAGAAGCTCCATGCCAGCTGTGCCCGGATAAGCCTGGAGAACCATGCCAGCCAATCCCAAAGCAAGAGCATCCCACAGGCTCAATGCTGCATTTTGCATCCCTGCTGCATCTCTCTGTCTGTCTATCTCCTCCCAGGGCCAGCAGCAGCATCCCCCAGCTGGGTCAGAGTTCCACCAACTTTCTTGGCAAGGAAACGCCTCAGCTGTGGGATCCGGGATGTGTCCGGATCCTGCTGTTATTATCAGAGTTTGCTCTCCAAACAACATCCAGGAAGCAGGAGTCCTGGGCCACCTTCTAGGGCTCTTTCTCTTCCCAGTGGAGATCCCTGTCCTGCTCCCACATCCTATGTCTTCATCTAGGGGGATGAAAGGGGTGGTAGAGGGATGAGCAGCAGATCTGGCAGTAGGCGAGGGTCACCCCCCTAGCAGCAAGATGCTATGGTGGAATGCTACAGAGGGGCTGAATGGTACTATGGGGCCAGAGGAAAGGTGTGAGGGGTGCTTAATGCCCCAAGGTGGTCTCTGGTGTACTGGAACCACTGCAGCACTTCCCAGCCATCAGGAAGCCACCCTCAAACCACAGGCTAGGAATCCCAGCAGCCAGGAATTCCAGTAGCTGGGCATCCTGTGTGGGGTTGCAGCTGCCCTGGCTGGGTGCTGAGTGGGAAAAGCAGGGAAAGGTGATCAATTATGCCAACAGCCACAAACTCAGCTGTTTCATCCAGCTCTTCCCACTGGTGACTCCCAAGAAATGTGGGATGCCACAGCAGGAATCAGCAAAAATGGGCTTTTGGGGAAATCAGATAGTAAATCAGATCTCACAGCTGAACCTCCTGATCAAACCCAGTGGATTTGGGTTTGGAGATCCAAACTGGAGAGGAAGGGATTTGTCAGCGTAATTCTTCCCCCCCTCACCCTCCCCCAGCTCCCACCGTACACACTGCGTAGGCAGGGAGAAGATCAGCTCATGCCTCTCCTGCCGGCACGCCTGCTGATGGGAATGCCACTCACCAAGCTCCCCCTGGCACCCAAAAAACCCTGGAGGCCAAACCAGCTGCATCCTGGGGTTTGCACCCAGACATTGTGGGGAACCCAGCCCGCTGATCTGTGGGGCTGTCCGCCAGCTCCAGGAGCGCAATATAAATTCTCAAGAGTTCAGGATACTGAGCAAGGAGGAAGCGGATACTGTCAGCCATGGCTGGGGCACCAACACCCAGCAGGCTGGAGGCAGCAACAGCCGCTTCCCAAAATGCTGGATGAGTTCAACAGGCACCTACAACTCCCATCCTGCCACTCCAAAACACTGCAATGTTTCTGGAAGGTTCCCCAGGCAGGGCTAGATCCCCTCATCCAGTTGGGGTGGGGGGGAGAGGGGTAGAGAGGCTGCACTTTAGCCCCCTGATCCTGATGCCAAGGGACATGGACTGAGCAAAGGGAGGGCAGTGGTGTTGTGGGGTGAGCAGGAGCACTCTGAAATCCCTAGTCCTCCATTATTAATGGCTAAGGGGACAGAAAGGGATTGGGGTGAAGAATGCGAGTGTCAACTCCTTGCCGGTGAGTGGATTTCACAGATCCTGCAAGGGCTGGCAGAGGTCATCAGGCTCTCCCTCAAACCCCAACAGGCCCTGCAGGATGTGCAGCCCAGCGGGTCCTACCACGGTCTGCCCCTGGAGCCCTGGGGAGCACAGGGGAGGGGGGTCCCTATCCACCTCTCCACAGGGTCCCCTAAAAGCCAGCGTGCCCATGGCAGCATTCCCATGGGATGAAGGCGTCGCAGGCCCTCGTGTCCCTGCGCTGCAGGGCTGGCACGTGCTCCCTGGCACCCCCAGCTGTGCCGCATGCCGGGAGTGACATCAGGGCCTGGGTCCCCTGGCGTCACCGCGATGACAACAGCCTCCCCCGGCCCAAATCTGATGGGGACGTCCCCAATCTCCGGGTCCTCACCACCCCTCGGGGGGCACCATATCCCCGCAGCGGGGCCACCCCAGGGGACCACCGGCTCCAGCGCAGGGCACGGGCAGCGCCTGTCCCACCCCTCCCCCGCCATGCCCCCCGGGGATGCTCCGCTCTGTCCCGCTCCTCACTCACCGGGTGCCTTTGTCTCCCATGGCCCCGCCGATCCTGCGGGCTCAGCCGAGAAGCGGCGGCCGGGCTCGGAAAATTACTGGCTGGATGGTGGAGGGAGCGGCGGCGGGGCGGGCGCGGGGCCCGCTGCGGCCCTGCTCGGGCCCGCTCGGAACCGCTCGAGCACGCTCGGAAACACTCGGAACCGCTCGGCTCGGCCCGGGCGGACGCCACGCCGGCCGGTTCGGGGCCGCTCGGAACCGCTCGGGCAGGTTCGGAACTGCTCGGAGCCGCTCGGAATCGCTCGGACACGCTCGGAGCCGCTCGGCAGGGCTCGGCCCGTCCCGGTTCCGGTGCGGACGCTGCCGCCGCCGCCGCCGCCTCCGCCCGCCCCTGAGCGGCGCGGCCCCGGGGCCGGGGGCGGCGGCGCGCAAGGGCCGCACGGGCAGAGGGAAGACTCGGGGAGAGGATATTGTGGGGGGGAAGCGGCCACGGGGCTGACACGAGGTGGGCGGGAAGGCGGTGAGGGGGTAGGAGAGTGTGAGAGGCGGTGCGGGGACACACGAGCGCGCACCCCCCCCTCACCGAGAGCGGCGGGAGCGCGCACACGGCTCGGCGCGCCCCCCAGCGGCGGAACGCGGCAATGGCGGGGGGGACCCCCTCAGAGAGACACGCGTGGGACCGGAGACACAAAGACCTGCGTGTCCACGGGGACAGGTACGTGAGCACAGACACACGGCTGTGAACACAAATACAGGCGTCTGTGAACACGGACACGGCTTGTACACACATCTGCATACAACCGCCATGCACACACATGTACACACACACGCACTTGCGAACACGCCGCCCCCGAGATGTCCCTCCCCTCTGCAGGGACATGTCCTCCCTCCCCCATGGAGCGTGTCCCTCCCACCCGCCTCCAGTCGCAGAGCAGTCCGTGGGGAACCGGTTTCAGGTGATTCCAGTGCTGTGTCCATCCCCAGCTGGAGCATCCCCTTCCTATCCCCCCTCCCCACGGCCATCGTGAGGGACAGAGGTTAAACATGTGGTGTCTCTTCTACCCCACTGTAGGGACACTTGGAGAAACCTGAACCCCACCTCAGGGATTGACGAGGACAAAAGGACAGAAGGAAATGAAGGGCCGAGGCTGCGGTCAGGGTCTGGAAGGAAGGCTGTGATACCCTGTCACATCCAGGAGGGGATGTCACCTAAGGGAACAGAGCCATCGGTGGCAGAAAGTGGGGCAGCTCCTGGCTGAGGACCATAAGCCCTGCTCTGGGACTACTTTGCAGGATTAAAGGATTTAATCCCAGGATTTGAATCGGTGTTGGGAGCAGGATGGGTGCATTGGGTAGTTTGGGCAGTTTTTCACCCCAATTTTGGCAGCTCATGGAGCACCAGAGCATGCCAGCACCAAATTCTCCGGGGACTTTTCCTCTGGGTATCAAATGCCCAAAAGCTGTCAGATTGGGCTGGGATGAAAGTGCTGCATTGATTTTATATAATAAAGTGCTCCTTGGCCGGATGGCAGGAATGAAAGCTGCAGCCCTGATGCATGGACGATGGGCAGACTAGGGGGTCCCTCCTGGGCTGTGCAAGGATGGCTGCAGGAGCCAGAGGAGCAGCTGGATTCTGCCCCAGTCCCAGCCCAGGAACAGAGGGGTTCTGATACAGGCCTCATCCTGCATCCCAGCCTGGAATCCCACTGCAGTCCCTAAACTGGATCCTGCCCTAGGCCCAGCTCCCCCTGCTGCCAGGCTGGATGTGTCTGGACATGGCTCCTGTCTAGGCATGGGGGGGCCCCAACCTGGCAGATAGAGATGAAAAGAGCATCCCAGGGGGTTGGAGCATGCTGGGGTTCTGGAACATCTCAGAAGGGAGCAGGGCACAGGGGAAGGACAAGAGCAGCTGGAGCACTCAGAGGGGATCAGTAAATTCTGGGGCATTGGAGCATTCTATGAGAGTGGAACATTCAAGGAGGGGATGGAGCTTCCTGGGAGTCAGAGCTGGATTCTTTCCCTGAAGGTGATTTTGGTGTTTATAAGTTTTAATTGGAGCTCCCCAGACCCCAACAAGGCCACCCACCAACCCGTCACAGGGAGGTTGACATATGAAATTTATTTAGGAAAACCAAAACCCACCAAAAAAAGAGAAATAATAATAAAGAAGGAGCAGGAGGAGGAGAAACAGTAGGGGCAGGAGGAGGAAGAAGAGAAGGAGGAAGAAAAGAAGAGTAAGAAAAGAAGGAGGAGGAGAGGAAGAAAGAGAAGTCATCTCCTCCTTAGGCTCCATTGGAGTCCAGAACAACCAGTGCCGCAAGACAGAAGGACAGAAAAGCTGGAGGAGGTTTGCACACCCACACACGCCTGTGCACACTCATGGGTGAGCTGGGCTGGGTGCAAACTGCACTCCTCAGTATCCAGAGGGGTATATACAGGGGCAGGAGCTGGGAAAGCATTGGCTACCTACACACACCAGCAGCAGGGGCTGGAAAAGTGGAATACGGCTGGGAAACGGGCATCCTTGTGTGCCCCCACCATGGTGTGGTACCCGGGATGCAGAACCCAAGTGCAGGACACCCCCACATCTATTGGATGGAGAGATCTGTGCAATGTCAGGCATCCCTGGATCAGCACTGGGATGCAGGGACTGTCTTTGAACAGTTGTACCTGCTGGCACGTTGGTACCAGGGCTGTTCCAAAGTCATGACAGGGATGGAGCTTCTGTTCTCCTCTTGCATCTTGGGGATTTGCTGCCTTCTGGGCACCCCTATGGCAGTGTGGGGTGGGGGGGAAGGGCTTAAGGGGGGCTTGGAGGCAAAACCATGGGCCAGCAGACAGACTCAGTCACCAGGTGGGTCCCACCAGGGTTTGGGCAAAGCATCTCACTAAAGGCATCTCCGAGTAGGTAAGGCAAAAGGAATTCAGGTCGCTTCAGCCACATGGAGCAGCTCAGCGTTGAGGTGTCCCATTACTCCTGCAGACACACACTCCAGGTATCCCAAGAACACAGGCAAGTCATTGCTTACAAAGCCACGGAGAGAAGCAGCCACTGTGCAGCCCAAATCCAGGAGGGACCTGCTGTGGCACCACTTGGGATGGTGCCATGGGTTACTGCAGAGGATGGGGGTGAGGTGGCAAATGGCCCCATGTGAACTCTTGATCCCAACACAGCCAACACCAATGCCAGCAGTGCTGGAATTTTACCATGCTGCTCCCATCGCCTTTCCCGGGTGTGGTGGTGGACTCATGCAGCACCCACAAACTGGATGATGCAGCCTGAGGGCTCAGTGCACCCTAATCCCTCAATACTGAGCACACCTACTCAGTCCCAGCCCCCTCTTCAGCTCTGCCCCAGCAGGGCAAGCTGCTCTGTACAGTTCCCCTGCTCAAGGGTGTTTCGAGTGGCTTTGACCACCACAGTGGTCTGTAGGACACAGAGGAAGGCATTGGGGTCCATGCACAGTGGTCCGCAGGAGCAGAAAAACCACAGGAGGTTGGTGGGGTGCATGCATGGCAGTCAGGACAAGAAGGGAAAACACCAGGGTCCATGCATGACCAGATCAACCATGGTAGACCAACAGCATCTGTGCGTGGAGGGGCCACAGGAAAATGGTAGGGTCGATGCACGGTGGTCTGCAGGACCAGAGGGACCACAGGAGACCACTGAGGTTCACGTCCAGTGATCCACAAGATGAGAAGAATCCCAAAATGTCAGCAGGATCTGTGCACAGAGGTTGGTATGGCAGGAGTTGTGAAGCCACTGTGAGCTAGGGATGCTCACGACATGGTCATCACCAAAGAAGCTGCTCCTAGTGAGGAGGTGCCTGGGTGGACACCTCACAGGAACACCTGTGTTCCTCTGCTTATGGTAAGGGCATGTATGGGACCAGAAGGTGATATATGGGACCAGATGAACCCTCTGTGGAGCACAGTCTCCCCTGTGTGTGCAGACCAGCAGCAGGACCCCCAGCCTTGGCAAGCGTGTAGCCCTTTTAGGGGACATGGTTGTGTGGTTGCATGGGACTGGGCTATGTGAGCGATACGAGCCCTTCCATGGATGAATGGGTTATGGGGTCCTAGAGGGGTGGGGCTGCAGCTGGTTCTCTAGTGTGGAACCCAGCAGGGGATGCAGGCACATCCCCATGGCTGTGGCCATCCCACTCTGGTGTCTCTTCCCTCCTCCAGCTGGAGCCAACCTTCTTCTGTGGACCTGATCCGTGGTCCATGGCAACACCCCCCATACACTCTACAGCCCCCCCACAGCTCTCCCACTGCCCCTCGCCATCCTGCCCCACACCACCCCCCTCTGTCCTGCTAACCCATGCACACCCATGTCATGGTGACCGACCCCTCTGGGTGCTTCCACCAAGGACATAATTCTTATTGTCACCCCATGAGGACAGGACCTGCAGTCTTAAGGCAGCTTAAAGCACATCCATCCCCCAGCCCCACTGTGTCCTTTGGTGCTCCAGCCACCAAGGCAGTGTCCCATGGACCACCGGGTGGACGGGACACCTGAACATCTGCCTCGGACGGAGGAGATAGTCACCCAGTGGTGGGGAAGGAACAGTGGCGGCTGCTGGCAGCACACAGCTGTTGCCGTGGTAGTCCAGATTCACCGATATCCCCCCAAACCTCCTCCCCACAGGCTGGGGGATGAGGCTTGGGGATGCTCCCAGCCCAGCCATGGCTGTGGCCCCCCATCGCCTTCTTCACTCGGCCCCAGTCTCGGGGGGCTGCCCCACCTCAGATTCCAGGCAGCCATTGAGCTGGGGGTCAGGGACCTGTGGGTCATATTCCTCATCCAAAAAGTCCAGGGAGTTGTTACTGGGCAACCCCCGGATGGTGAATTTGTGGGAGACCTTGGTCCACTGCTCCCGGTTGCTGGCCACCCGCTCGTAGAGCTCCGCTGCCTTGGGGAAGAGATCCTGCAGCAATCTGGGGAGTGGGGGACACGTTCAATCAGCACAGGGCTGCACCCCCTTACTTTGATGCAACCCCCTTAGTTGAGTGCAACCCCCATCCCCACTGCTTGGAACGCCCCCCACAGCACCCCATCCCACCCTAAGGGAGGTGGGGGTGGCAGGGGGTCCTCCCCATCCCAGCGCCAGCACTGGGGCTCACTTGTAGATGGGCATGGCAATGTGCTCCATGAAGCTGATCTGCAGCTCGGGGATGTAGGCCTTCTCCCGGTCCATCATCTCAAGTGGGCTGTTCCCCATGGCTTTCTCCTGCATGGGTGGCGAGGAGGGTCAGTGCCAGTGGTGCTTTTCCCCCATTCCCCCATTCTCTGCTCACTGCCCACACCCCCATCCCACTGGTGCTTTCTAGGAGCATTGGTCAAGCCCAACCCTGTTAGGTGGTACCTACCAGGTCACCCTGGGAGAAGAACTCCTTGTAGATCAGCTCCTGCAAGAGACAGGTGTCAGCACAAGGGGTGCAGCCTGGGATGATCCCCCATCCCCACTGCCCTCCACATTCCTCCCCACAGCTCTGAATCAAGCAGGGATACGGTCTGGCTTGGAGGGACTGGGTTCTGCATGGTCCAGGGTCCTGCATGGAGGAACCCACTCCATGAGGGGCAGGTGTGTCCCTAGGGATACGCAGGTGGCCTAGGTGGGTTGTGAGGTGGCACTCAGGGGGGTTAGCTCCATGGTGTGGCACTCACTGCAATCTTCCTGGTGGTCTTCCAGCCCTTGGTCTGGTCAGATAGGTCACAGGAGGTCATGAGCAGGCAGAGCAGCAAGCTGCGGTGCTGCTTGTTCTTGGGGTCATATCCCACTGTGGGCAGAGTGTGAGGCCGGGGTTGGGATGGGGAGCTCAGGACAGAGCTCCATAGCCCCCATCATGCCATACGTGAGCACTTTGGGGACAGCCAGAACCTTGTGTGTCATGTCCCAGCCCTTATCACCCCTGACATAAGAACCTCCTGTGCCACCTCCCAGCCTTGGTGGGGTGAGTTCCTACCACCCCTCAAATCCCAATGCCAATCTCCATCCCAGGATCTTCACCTTCTGCCATTTTCTGGAGATCCTTGAAGATGCGGAGGTGGTGGGCCAGGTCAGTGGCCAAGATGATGTCCCGCATCAAGTCCAGCATGCGCTGGTAGTCCTGTGGGCAAGGCAGCTGCCATGACCAGCTCTGTGCCCCTGCCAGCTCCCACATCCCCTGGGATCCAGGGATGGGGAGCAGGAGGTCTGGAGAGGACGCAGGGGCTCAGCATGGGCAGGGGGTGGCATGAGAGAGGTGTTAAGGTGGGGGGCTCACCTTTCTTGAGAAGTGGTCAAAGATGTTGCAGCCTTGGCTATTGAGGATAGCAATGGCTTGGGCGAAGTGATGCCTCTGTGGGAGAAGCCAGGACCATGAAAGCAGGCAGGGAGCAGGCAAGGATGCTGCCACACAGCCAGAACCCAGGAGAGATGGGCAATGAGAGATTTGGGGGACCTTACCTCCATGACAGAGCCCTCTGAACTGTAGAGCGCGGCCAGGACTGATTTCTGCAAGGCAGAGCAGCCAGAATGATGGAACTATGGGGTGAAGACCCCCACAGCTGTCCCCATACCTCTCCTTCCCCCTTGCCCATCCCAGCTCTGGGCTCAGCTCACCGAGGCCACCTGGAAGGAGTTATTTGTTCCTCTGTGGTCCAGGTCATGGCACATGCAGGAGATGAAGAGGGCAAAGATCTCAATGTCTCTGGGGAGGGAGAGGAGGGAAACTGAGGCAGGCAGGAGAGCAGGGAGCACCCCAGCCAGGCCAGGGGTTGGAGAACAGGGGCAGGGATAGCACCTGGCCTTACTCCAGGTAGTTAACGAGCTCCAGGTTCTTGTAGAGCAGGTAGCAGAAGTGGGAGACGGAGAACGCATGCATCCAGTTGTGGTAGGGAGGGTCACGGTACCCCTTCTTTACCATCAGGCAGAACCTGGACAGGGCAAAGCCATGCAGGGTGGGACTCACCCCACAGGGACCTCCACCTTGCCAGGTGTCTGCCAGGCAGGCACAGGCGTGGGCATGGGGATGAAGATGAGGATGGCATGGGGATGGGACGGATAGGGACAGGGAAGGTAGACAGTTATCTGCATGGGGGTGGGCATAGGGATAGGGATGAGCATTCAGACAGGAGACAGAGAAGGTGGACGGTGATGAGGATGTGGATAGGGACAGGGACATGGGTGTGGACAAGGATGGGGAAGGAGATGGAGGGGATGAGATAGGTGGATGGGGATGGAAATGAGGATGGAGACAGGGAAAGTGGACAGGGATAAGGACTCACCTGGTGAGCGTCTGACGGTCCATCTTGTAGTTGTTGATGAAATTCATGTCTTGGAGCATGCTCAGGATGGCCTGGCAGAAGGGATATGATGAGTGGCAAGGAATGACCATGCCCAGCAAGGTCCCCCGCAAGCCACCCCTCCCCCTGCATAGCAGGAAGATGCTCAGAGGTGCAACCCTTCACCCCAACACCCCAACACTCCAGGTTTAGGATATATGACCCGACCAAGGCCAGGCAGGGGATGGTGGCAGTTGAGAGTTGTCTCTGTGGTCCTCACCATGGAGGTGTCGTCCTCAGGCAGTGAGCGTGGTGTGTAGGTGAAGCTGGCAAAGTTGGGGTCAATGGTGGACACGGGCTGGATGCCCTCACTCAGCAGTTTGGTGTACTCATCATCAGACACCTGCAGGAGCCATAGCCAGTGACCCACACTGTGATCAGGCCACATGAACCTCTCACCAGCCAGTGAGAGCAGAGAGCCCTAGGGTATCACCCAACCACCACCCAACTGTGTGACCACCCTGGGATAAAGTGTGGAGGCACCATGCTGGCAGCGGGGGTCCCCAGCCCTGTCCTTGTCCTCGTGCTACCTCACCTTCATGTGGTACATCATCATCTCATTGGCCAGGTGGCTTCGGTACTGTGCCTCATTCACCTTCTTGTACAGCAGGGACTGTGGGGCAGGATCAGGGTATGGGAGTGCTGGGGGTGGGCAGACACCCTCCAGCACCCCAAAGCTCACCCTGGCACCACAGCACATCTTTGTGCTCATTAATTCCCTTCCCATCCCATGGCCACCACCATTTGTCCCCAAAGAATAGGTACCACACAAACACACCCCCCATCCCCATCCCTCTGTGCTGTGGCAGAGCTGGGAGCCCACCTTGTGTGTGACACCCTCCAAGTGGAGGACCCCTCAGTACATACATGGGCGATGCTGATGCCGCAGTAGATGGAGAAGGCGGTGGCCAGGTCCTCGTCAAACTTGCTGAACCAAGGGCCGTTGATCTTGTTGACCAGCTCTGCCACCCCAATCACCTCTGGAGCAGAGGGGGGACAGCAGGGGTGGGAACAGGGTCATGTCTGTATGCTGGGGACAGCACTGTGTCCCTGGGCTTAGGGCAGGGGTGTGCCCGAGTAGCAGGGACAGTGGGTTGGGGACAGCGTGACACCCACAGTCTGTGGACAGTGCGGTGCCCAGGGGCTGGGGGACAGTGCTGAGTGTCTGTACGGGGACAGGATCATGCCTAGGGACCATGCTGAGCCCATGGACTAGGATAAGGTCACGTTTGTGTGCTGGGGTCAGTGCTGTGTTTGTCTGCAGAGGGACAGGACCACACCCAGGAACTGTGCCCTTGTGCCAGGAGACAGCACTGAGCCCAAGGGTCAGGACAGGACCATGCCCACATTCGTGTCACAGAATGCTGCCCTGATGCTGGGGACAGGACTGTGACTGTGGGACTGGGACAGGGTGCTGGGGCAGTGCTCTGCCTATGGGCTGGGGACACATGCTGAGGGACAGTGCTGAGCCAGGACTGTGCCCCTGTGCTTGAACAGGATTCATGCCCACAGGCTGGGGATGATGCTGTGCCTGTGCCTGCATGCCAGGGACAGTGTCATGTCCACGTACCAAACCACCATGTGCTGACTAAGACACCTGCTGGGCCAGACCTGTGCCACCCTCTTCCCAGTGTGCCCCCATCACTCTCTCACCCTGGCTCTCATTCTTGATGGGGAAGCAAAGGATGTTGCGGGTGCGGAAGCCGGTGCTGTCATCCACCCCACGGTAGAAGAGCGGGTGTGAGTAGGCATCCTTGATGTTTAGGATCTTGCCAGTGGTGGCCACATGCCCAGCAATGCCCTGGTCTGCTGGGATGCGGATCTCGTAGCTCTGTGGGCAGGGGAAGAGGATCACCAGCAAGCCTGGGGGGAGGGACACAACCCCAGGCCCCCCAACTCCATCCTGTGCTCACCTCGTCATCCACCACTCCACCATCGAACACCTTGGCCACCAGCTCGTGACTGAGCCGGTCCAGCAGGAACACAGAACATCTGCAAGACACACCGCTGCCATTCTCACCCCCAGGGGGGCTCAGTGTCCCCCCTGTGTCCCCTCACCCACGTGCCCCACCACTGCCACTCACATCTCAGCATTGCTGAGGTTCCGGGCCTCCGTAATGATCTCCTGCAGCAGGACAGAGACATCATCTGCAGGGGTAGCAGTGAAGGGTCAGGGACCCCCAGCCAGGCAGCGCTGCCCCCTCATTCCTCACTCATGCAATGAAAGCTCAGGGTCCTGGCAGGAGGTCTGGGAGGCACAGAGGGCTGGGGGATGTGTGGGGCATGTGCACGTGTGAGCAGCACATACAGCTGCACACGTGCACACGTGTTTCTAAGAGCCCTATGGTCATGCTACATGCATGCATGCAGCCATGCAGCATCAGTGCATGCCAAGTTCTGTGCCAGCTCATATCACCCTTCTGTCACCATTCCCCAGCAAGGGGACAAGGTTCTCCCTGGCTGGGGACAGAGACCCCACTGCCACCACCCTCCAGGGCTGGGGATGGGGGGTGGTCATCCATTCCCCATCCCACTCCCTCACCATGGGTGTTCCACAGCGCACCTACCCAAGTGGGTGAAGAGGTTCTTGGCCACCTGCAGCAGGGCCTGAGGGGACAGAGAGAATGCCATTAGTGACTAGTGCAAGATGGGGCACACACACACATGTGGTACGGCCCTGCACATGCTCACCTGGCACTCACACTTGAGCTTCTGCTCCTTCTGGAAGGCCAAGGTGCTCGTGAGCACTGTGGAGGTGTAGCAGAAGCAGTGCTGGATCTTGTGCTCATCCGTGTCTGTGTAGCTGGCGAGGGCACACCTCAGTTGTCCGTCCCCATCGGTCCCCCCCTTCTCCATAGTGACAATGGTCCAGCACCCCAAAAGTGAGGGGGTGCAGGCCCACAGAGAGTCCCAGCCAAAATGCTGCTCACCTCTCCCCACTCAGTTTGTTGAAGGCGCAGGCCAGTGCCACCACCTGGGAGGTGGCCCGGCTAATGACAGGGACGCAAAGCATGGAGGTGACCTCGCAGCCCAACATGCTGCTCAGCTGCTTGTGCTCCTCCTGCAGGGAGAGGCAACACGGGGCTAGAACCAGCACTTCTGGCCCACTTCAGGAAGCCCCATGGGACACTGAGGTGACACCCATGTCCCCAGGTGTGGAAGGCACACAGCTGGTACCCACCTCACTGATGTCCTTCAAGGTGATGGGCTTCTTATCCTCCACCACCTGCCCCAGGCGCCCAAAGGTAAGCTGCAGGGAAAGGGAACATGTTAGCACATGGCACCCATTGCCCACCCCCCTGACCTCCCAACCCCTCACCACCTCCCCCTGCTCACTGAAAAGCTGATTTCCTCATCCAGGACACGGTCCCCCACCACCTGGAAAAGATGGGAAGGAGTGGGTGCCCATGAGGAAGACACCATGTCAGGGGGTGCCTGTAATCCTCTGTGGGGGTCAGGGTTGGGGACCGTCCCAGTGTCACCTACCTGGCAGAAGAGCTGGTGGTTGTCCTCAGAGACGAGCAGGAGGCAGCAGCACAGAGACTGGGTCTCCTGCTTCAGCTGGGGAGTAAGAGGAGGGTCAGCACCCCAGCCTGCCCCGAGCACTCCCCAGGTAGAACCCAGCCCCTCCTCTGCTTCCCTGTGCCCAGGGCGCCCACACATGGCACAGAGAACTAGGTGTCCCTCCCTAGAACCTCCTCCCCGTGACTGAGCAGGTTCACTCTGGAAACTACTGATGGCAAGTGGAAGGAAGGCTGTTCTGTCTGGACACTACTGAGGGTAATACTGAGGTACAGAATAACAGAGAGCAGGAGAAGAACCTGTACGTTCTCTCAAGGAGTTTTTGGCATGAGAGTGGCACTGTTAACTCTGGGTCTACTGATGGTTGTTATAAGGCAGATCATTCTGGTCACTACTGATGACTCCACAGCCAATGCCTGAGGCTTTACTTGGCTTTGGGGGATTTTCTTGTTTTGAAATAAAACAGGGCTCCCTGGTGTGTCCTGGGGCTGTGGGCAGATGGGGACAGGGAGCTGGTGGAGTAACTACTCACGTAGTTGATGACCTTGAGCTGCAGGGAGGCGGCATCCAGGTCATACAGCTCACCTGTATGAGGGTCACAGTGCTGTGAGGGGCTGAGCATGGCTTCACCCTGCCCACACACCCCACCCTTCCCAGTGTCCCCTCACTCACCACAGAGCTGCAGGATCTTGCAGTCTAGGTCATTATAGCTGCTGTCAGGTGCCTTCTCAGGCTTGGCCAGAGAGGTCTGGGAGGAGCTGGTGGAGAGGCTGACCTGGGGCCAGGGCTGCAACTTCTGCAGGGCTTGCAGGCGCCGGAATGCCACCAGGGCCTGCAAGGTTGGGCAGAAGGGACAAGGAACAGCAGGGCTGGGAGAAAGGGTGGTAGGTCCCCAGGTGGCAGATCCACAGGTCAGAAGGAGTCACTCACATGTCTCTCTAATGCATGCAGGTTCTGCTCATCTGAGTCACTCAGCTGGCCACAGTGTACCTGGAGCAGGAGTGATGTCAGGACCCTCATGTCCCTCTGGGGTCCTGTCCCCAGAGCCCTGCCCACGTTCCTCCACTCACCAGGATGACGCATACCACGGCCCCACAGTTCTTGTCCACCAGCGGGATGATGAGCACTGCAAGCAAGAGAGTGTCGGTCCCAGATGGGGCCCAGAGACAGCCTGAAGCTGTGGAACTCAGCTCTTGGGATGTGTGTCCCCATTATGTCCTGATGTGTCATAACCCACCCAGCTAGCCAGCCAGTCAGCCAGCCATCTATCCATCTTCTTGTCCCTGAGAACATCCCTCAGCCCCGCGTTCACCTGTCCCTCATGCCTGCACCCTGTTTCTGCCCACCTGTTGATGCATCACTCACCCACTCACTGTTGTTTCAGCCATGCATCCATGCATCCATCATCCATCCATCCCATCCATCCATCCACTCATCCATCCATCCATCCATCCATCCATCCATCCATCATCCATCCCTCAGCTCCATCAATCCATTCATCCATCCATCCATCCTTGATTCTATCCATCCATCCATCCATCCATCCATCCATCCATCCATCCATCATCCATCCATCATCCATCCATCCATCCCATCCATCCATCCATCCATCCATCCATCCATCCATCATCCATCCATCCATCCAACATCCATCCTTCAGCTCCATCCATCATCCATCCATCCATCCATCATCCATCCATCCATCATCCATCCATCATCCATCCATCATCCATCCATCCATCTTCCATCCTACATCCCATCCATCCATCCCATCCATCCATCCCATCCATCCATCCATCCATCCATCCATCCATCCATCCATCCATCCACTCACATCTCAGTCCCCCTCCCTACCTACCACCCAGCCCTATATCCATACCCCATCTATGTCCACCAAGACCACCCTTCCCACAGCTCCCACCTTGTGTTCCAGGGGCCAGGGGCGCTGCCAGGGGTCCCAGGTGCCGGCCAGGGAGCTCGGCAGGGAGCAGCCCCCCACATTCCAGCCGCTTCTGCTTCTGCACAGCATCTCTGTGGGGACAGGGATACTTTGAGCACCCCCCAGGAAGGGGTAACCTCTGGGCAGAGACACCCATGGGATAGGGACAGGCTCAAGGACTGTGCAACGTGTGTCTTCCTGCACGCACGCAGCCCGTGACAACACGCGTGTCCCTGTACATACACATAGCCCCTGTGCATGTGTGCACATCCAGGATGGGAAGGGAAAGCCACAAGTATGGAGATGGAATGAGGCTGGAGATGGGGACAGGGATGGAAACCCTCCTGCCTGTTCGTGCACAGCAGCTGGGCCACACTGTGTGCCCGTGCCCAGGGCTGGGGAGGTGGCCGAGCTCACCTGAGCTTCCCGTTGTGTGGCAGCTCGTGGGGGGGGTCATCGCAGAGCAGCCGTGTGTCCCCATCCAGCAGGTAGATATAGACATGCTCCTGGGGGAGAGGGGCAGCACACACATGTGTGCAAACATGTGTGCACACCCACGGGTGCACAAGCACACGTTCACAAATACACCCCTGCTCACACACAGAGCCACGTGCAGGTGTGCACACATGCCTGTACACGTGTGCAACATTCACACTCAGCCATGAAATGGCACTGGCATCAGGGCCACCAGCACCCTGGGGCCACTGTGAGCACCAGAGCCACGACCAGCACCCTGCTGGTGACAGGTGGCCCATACAGGGGGAGAACCCTGCAGTGGGCTGGGGATAAAGAGGCTGTTACGGTGAGCTCCTGGACACCCTTTTGTCCCCCCTTTCCCTGGGCCTCTGTGGCTCTGATCATGATAACCCCTGGATCCTCCTTCCTGCCCCAACGGGGTTGGCAGGGAGCCAGGAGAGCCCACCCTGTCCAAAACCTATATAGACCCCTGAAACTTCCTGCTCTTTCTCTTTTGCCCCGCTCTCCCATGGACACCACAGAATAAAGAGAGCTGTACCAACCAACACCCTGGGGTAAGAGCCTCTTTTGAATGCTTTTCCCTCTCCTGATATTTCCTCCCCTCACAGCCCCATATCTCTGAGCTGGTCAGATCCTAGAGGGGGCTGCGTGGAGAGGGGGAAAACCATAGAAATTACAAGAGACATCAGCCCAGGCTGAACCCCAGCATCAACCAGCAGATAATCCACTCTCTACTCCCTCCTGAGCTCCCCACAATCCAGGCGGTCTCAGCAACCCCATAACCCCCACCCACCCAAGGAGGATGCTCTGCTCCACATTCTTCCCAGCCCCCCAGGGAATGTGGATGCATCCCCCACCTACCACAGCGGGCAGCAGGGTGACCAGGGCGTGGCGGAGGGCATCACGCAGGGTGGTGGCATCAAGTGCAGCACCCAGGCTCAGTAGAGCATCCTGCAGAGAGACAAGAGCACAGCAGGGGATTACTGGAGGTTGATGTCCTGGAGAAGGGCACTGCAGCACCCATCCTCTCTGACCCCTGCCATGGCACGGGTCCTTCTGCTCCCAGACCCCTTTAGTGGCCTCCAGTCTGCCTGGTGCCTTTTTTGGAGCCAAATCCTCCCGTGTTGGTCAATGTCCACCATGTGGGGAGGCGGGAGGTCCCCAAAAGGGACAGGAGGCACTGCCCTCAGTGCTAGCCATGCCATAAAGCACCAGTGGGAAGAGAAATGGGACAAGGAGGGGGATGAAAGCTCATCTGGGGATTACAATCCCATGGAGGGACAGAGGTGTTAGGATGGACACAAGGAAAAACTGGGAGGCACAGGGGGCTCTGTGGTGTGACCCTCCCAGCTCTGCTCCTGCCTCCAGCCCTTGTCTGGGAGACTGGGATAAGGATGATGTTATGATCTGGATAATGGTGTTGGGATTTGCTCTTTCTCTGCTCCCAGCTTTGCCAGGTGGCTCCAGGCTCTGTTCCTGATAACCAGACCTGGGGATTGTCATGCACCCCATGCCTCCATCCAGGACAGCAGCCCCTCGCAGGGCCATGCTACCCACCCACCCTGGGAGCATACTTGGCCATGGGGTCACATCCAAGTGGCTCTGGGAGCGTGGCTGGTGGTGAGGGTGCTTCCAGCTGAAGACATCGGCACTGGATGTTATTCCAACAGGGCCGCATCTCCAGTCACTTACTCACACTGGAGACACATGCACTGTAGAATACAGCCAGGCCTCAGACAGGTGGCTGTCCTGCCATCCCTCTGTCCCACCAGATCCTCCACAGTGGCCCCCCTGGGGCAGGGGAAGATGGGGCAGAGCCTGAGCGGGTCCCTTGGGTCTGCTTGGGGCATCAAATGCCAGTGGCATTTTTGGTGTGGGAATGGACAGGTGGCAGCTGGATATGGGTGGTGACTTTATTAGGGCTAGGAATACAGGTCCATCCCTGAAACAGTGAGGGGAAAGCTGTAGGAGATAAAAGAAGATGTTCCCAAGACAAGGAGACAGCAGCAGATGCTGGCAGGGGGATTTGCAGCCTAGCAAGAAGGTAGAGAGAGCGAGGGTGGGCTAGAAGGACATCACACTCCTTCCACTTATCCCACACATCCTGCTAAACTGCTTCTCCCACTCATCCTCCTCATTCCACCCAGCCTATTCACTATATTGATCCAGTTCATCCAACTCATCCCATTTGATGGCTCATCCCACTCACCTGCTTGTCCCACTCATCCTGCCCATCCCACTCACCCTGTTTGTTCCTTTCATCCAGCTCAACCCACTCATCCCACTCAACAGCTCATCCCATTCAATGGCTCATCCCACTCCTTCCACTCGCCCCACTCATCCTGCATATCCCACTTGCTCAGCCCATTAATTCCATTTGTCCCATTCATCCCACTCTCAGTCCACCTCCTCCAGCCCAGAGCAGAGGTTTACCCCAACACCCTCACCTGCTGTCCCCCAGCCCCGAGGATGCTGCAGACTCACCCTGGGAGGGAAATGCTGTCTGAAAATGGGCATGGAAAAAGGGCTTTGGAGACAGATCCAAGGACAGGGTATGGAAAGGGGACACAGCATGGCAGCCCCAGGAGCTGGGAATGCTGCTCCTGCAAAGCAGGTGAACAGCACCCTGTCCTGTCCTGTCCTGTCCCCACCATGCACACACGTGGCTCTGTGAAGCCCCCACCCGTGGGCTGTTGCCACCTTTTCTCTGGCCTGAGAGGACAAGGCTACTGATCTCACCCTGCCAGACTCCTCGAGCTGACAGGGTGACCCATGGGACCTCAATGCTGGCAGGAATTTTGCCAGCACTCCTTGGCCAGCATCCCATGGTGCAGTGCAACACCAGAGCCATATCTGCCTCAATATTCCCACTGGAGCCCGTGGAAGATTCATGACACCATTCATCTCCTTAGAGTAAGGGTTTGTCTCTGATCCAACACAGACCCCCCCAACTCTAGCAAAGCCAAATCCTGACACAGGCCAACCTCCAGAGCACTACCTGCTCTCTCCCTCATGGAAAATGGCTATTTTTGCCCCTCTTTTTCCCTTTGGATAGCTGCAGAAGCATCCTGTCCCCATGCATGTGGTGATGAGGACCCCCAGCACAAGCTCCCAAGCCCCCATCCCAGGCTTCCATAGATCCTGCTGGGATTTAAAAGCAGGTATTTTTAGCAGAGGGAATTCACCAGCAGTGAAAATGTGACTTTTTCCAAGAGGATCAGCAACATCTGTCCTCTGACCCCCCTCCACCACCAGCTGTGGAAGCTTGGTTTGTCCTCCCTGGCACCCCCATCTTCTCTGGATGTTTATGAAACAGAGAAATCCCATCCTGGCCAGCTTCCTCTCCAGAAAAGTTCATGTCACACATGCCATGTGGAGGGTGGGGCCTAGAAGAGGAGGACACTGATGTCACAGGGTCTCAGGTTTCTGAGCTTGCACCCCTTCTCCTGGCCTTGCTCCTGGGAGATGAACGGAGGCCCCCCAAGGATGAGGAGGAGCCTCCTGGCAGCAGGTAGAGGCTGGATCCAGTGCAGTGAGGCACCCACTGGGATGTTCAGCCCACTTGAGGTTACCTGGACCTTGGGGTCTCTCTCTGAGGGGGACACACCTGAGCACTCAGTGAGTAGAGTTTGCATGAAGAGAGCTGAAAGCTCAAAACTGGGACCTGCCACCCACTGGATGTCTCTTTAACGATGGGAAAACAGGCACGGAGAGCCAGGCAGCAGTACCAGGTGCCTAGGAGCATCTGAGATGAGAGAGCTGAGCAGGGCTGTAGGATCTCCACCCTGCCTGGCAAGGGGATGCTGGGCTGGGGAGGCCCCAGATGGATCCTGACATCGCTGCCAGAGCACCCATGGGTGCTGGTTCTACAGCGGAATGCTGGCAGCAGCCCAGGCTTCAGTGGCAGACTCCTGCCACAACCCTCCCCAAAGAAGCTCGAGGAAATGAATCATCTCCCTGCCAAGCTTCCAGCCCAGCTTTGCTGTAAAAACTCCAAGTAAATGATCTGCCAGAAGTGACCGCTTAAGCTGGAGGCATCCATGACACAGTGAGCCCCCAGAGCTTACTCAGCTCCCACCCTCCACTGGGACCTTATCCATCTGTGAACACAAGGAAAATGAGCCCAATTAATTTTGGCAGTGGATTGGTCTATTAGCCCCAGCCTGAGCAATCACCTCTGGGATGGAGCTGGACATCGCTCTGTCTGGACAACTTCACCCCCAGTTGCAGGCCCCAAATCAAATTAGAGCATCCAAGATGCTGAGTGCACAGCTCTTGCTGCCTGTGGGCAGTGCATCCCCCTACCCACATCCCATGCAGATGCTTCTCAATGGGTTTTGCAGGTTCAGATTGCAAAGGGATTGGGATGCTTGGGAGTGCAGAACACAGCAAGCACGGGTCTGGGGTGCAGCAAAGGATCCCCCTGCTGCCTGTCTCACCAGCCCCAATGTCTCTCACAGAGGGTTTGCAGACTTCAAGGACAGAGGAGCTGCTCCCCAGGGAATTCCCTACCAAGCAGAGCCCTGGATGAGGAGGGTGACCATGTAGTCACCTTTTTGCAAGGCTGAGAGCCAGTGCTGGGGCCTTAGGGCTGCCTCCCACTGTGGTCTCTTCAGATAGGATGCATTTTTAGCCACCAGCCTCTGGATCTTGTCATGTTTGATGGGTGAAAAGCAAAATCCTGGGAGGCAGCCTACCTCTACCCTCACCACTCCCTGTGTCTCACCCAGAGGGTGCCTGGGTACATGTCCCTGTCCAAGGGCTCCCTATCCACCACAACGCTGCAGGCAGACACACCCACCCTCCCTCCCATGCCCCAGCTCTGCCTTTTCCCCATCCCAGTGATGGAGAAACTTTTTCCCCTCCTGCCTCCCCTTCAAGGAGGAAGATGATGTTCCAGGACCCTCTTTTGCCCCCACCCATCACACCCAGAGTTGTTTCCAAGCGCATGGGGACAGATGTCCCTGCCTTTGTCACCTCTCCAATGCAGAGTGACAGCACCACGGGGAGCAGCTGATCCCCCTAGGCCCCCAAAGCGAGCCACAGCTGCCAGCAAACACCCAGCCTGCACCCGCGCCACCCTGCCCAAGCATTTGCCGAGCAATCTGGCGGCATTAAAAATATCCCAAAATATCCCTGAGCCATGATTCATCCTCCTCTCCCACCTCCAGCAATGCTGAGCAGCCCCAGCCCCCTCCAGTTCTGGGGGGCTGCTTTCCCCTGGCTGCTCGGCCTCGTGCTCTGGCCATGGTGGTTAAATATAGCCAAGCTCTGTCTGTGTGTTGGCAACGCTGGGCTAACAACCAGGGGCAGGGCCAGGAGCTCACCAGCTTCTGACACTGGGGTGTGGATGGGGAAACTGAGCTAAGGAGCAGGGAAGCAACTCCTGAAGGCAGCACTGTTACCACTTTGCTGTCACCAGCTGCACTGTGGGCAGAGTGACACTGCTAAAACCCTGGCACCCTGTCCCTGTTCCCTGCACTGCTCCTTTTTCCCAGCCCAAAGCCACGATTTCCCAGGGAATCCTCCCCACAGAGCTGGGGAAATAGAGACAGCATCCCTGTTCCCACCCTCCCCCCACCCCAGAGTATCCCTGATACCTTCAGCTTTGCCACACTGCTGACACCCTGTCACCCTGTCTCTGTCACCCCCAGCACTGCTCCAGGCTCCTTCCCTCTGCCCCACAGTCACAATTCCCCAGGAAATCCTCTCTGTAGGGGTGAGAAAACAGAGGAAGTATCTCTAGTCCCCCAAAGGAGAATCCCTGATAACCCTCCAGCAGCGTGCCTGGAGCAAGGTCCAGGGCAACAGAGGATGGAGGGATGGATGGAAGGTAGAGCTGGCAGCTCTGCCCAACTCCAGCTGGGAAGCCATCCATCCATTTCCTCCCAGCACCGCTCTTAGTCCCAAATTACATTGCTTTAATCTAATCAGGCAGCAACAACCTGTAACACGGTAGCTCCTTAATTACCTCATCTTTTCCAGGGGCATAATGAGGGCAAACAGGAAGGAAACACTTCTGGGATATCTCTTGTCTCCTCATGGTCATTTGCCTGGGGTCCTATTGCAACATGGATGGGAAGCAAGGGCTGGGGTGCAGGAGCTACCCTGGCACCCAGCGATCCAGGCTGAGGCTTCCAAGGGCTGGAGGACACAAGTCTGTGGAATTAGCCACCCCAAAAATTCACACAAGTAGCCCTGCATGCCTACCTCAGTTTCCCTTTCTGTGGAGGTTTCCTACCTCAGTTTCCCTTTCTGTGGAGGTTTCCTACCTCAGTTTCCCTGCCAGCAAAGGGTCATGGCCATGCAAGACCTGCCTGGAATGGCAGTAGAGTTTGGTCCAGGTGGAATGAACAGTGCTGAGCCCACTGTCTCCCTGGAGCTTAGTGCATCCCTTACCCCCTCCTCCTCCTCCTCATCCTCACCCACACATCAGCCTCGCTGGAGCCTGGCATGCTCACACTGCACAGGACATTTGCACAGAGCATTTGCACACGCAGTTTTGACAGCCTGGAACCAGACAGATGCCACTCCCTGAGGACCCCACACATTCTGAGCAGCATGTTTTGCTGAACCAAGCAAATTTCCTAACCTCTGGCAGCTCACAAGCCCTTGGGGTGCTCCTAGTCTGTCCTCCCACATCCTGGCCTGGCCTCCCGGGGCCAAGAGAACTGGGCCAGAGTCAAGGTTGCTTCCTGTTGATGTCCCTTTGTCGGGCAGGACAAATCGGGACAGCAGCCACAGTCCTCAAGGATTTCCGTCCCCAGAACATCGTGGCCTTCTTGGAACAGCTGGCTCGGCCACTAGCCTAATGATCTGTCACTAGTTTGTCACTAATTAGTTCACTATTCTAAGAGAAGGTGGTGAGGGCTGGGGGTGTCACTGTCACTTCTCTCTAAGCCACGTCAGAGAGGGGAAAAGGGACCCCACTCAGCCCCACGTCACTTGTCCCTAACTCATGTCAGGGAGGGGCACATGGACCCTCCTACAGCAGCTACAGGGAAACTGCCCCATGGTTAGGAGAATCACTGGTATGCAGCTGCCTTCACCCCAAAGGACAGAAACATGCTGGCACCCAGCTGGCACCAAGCTTTGGGTGCTGGCAGTGGCAGTGCTGGGTGAGAGGTGGCATGATGTACATTCCTGGGACGTGGCATTGCTGGAAAAACTTCCCTGGCACATAGTCCCCTTCCCACCCACACTGGCTGCTGGTTTCCAGGACTTTCCTAGATGTTTTCTGGTGGATTAGCCATGCAGGGGTCTCAGTGCCTGGCTCTGTTTGGGACCATCATGGCAAAGCTCTGGGGATGAAGCCAGAGAGGGCTTGGGGGACATTTAAGTCCCCTGGGGGGACAGAAATCAGTGGGATGGGGAGGGAGATGCAGCATTCCCACATCCATCCGTGCATCCCCTCCTGGCATGGCTGGAGCTAATGGGATCTGCACAGTGATTAGGGACCTCATTTATCAGTCTCTGATGGGATCTGGGAAAATTGAATTCCTGGCCATCTGCAGCTGGGGAGGAATTTGATTTGGGCAGTGCTCCGGAGCAGGGTGTGGGGGGCTGGGGGCTGCCAGAGCTGCCCCCACCAGGGGATTCCACTCTGTCTGTACAGGGACTACTCTTATTTTCCATGCCTGAGAGGGTTTGATGGTGGGATGCAGCTCTTAATTGCCGTGAAGGGGTCTAGGAATTGGAGGTGGGGGGGTGGGTGGGTGTCTTGCTACTGAGATGGCAAAAATGAGGCATGGCCAGGAGAAGACCATGGCAGAAAGAATCACAGTGCTGGTGTTTAATGGGTCAGCACCCAGCCAGGGGTCTGGCCTCCAGCCTCCCCTTGTCTAGGGTGGGGGTTCCAAAGCTGTGGCCAGGGCATCTAAAGGTACCAGACTCCCTGAATCTGCCAGAGCCAGGCCAGGAGCAGTGATCTCTCCTGCACCAAGAGGAGGGAGACTCGGGAGCTAGCTCTATTCCCTGGCATTTTCCACCCCATGGCTCCCTCAGGCAAGTCCCCACCATCCTCTCCCCCACATCCACGGAGTGGCTAGGGTGGGTATGCAGCAGGATACCCAAATCCATGGATTCAGCTCCCAGACAACCACCCTCCAGACCCAGGTTTGCAGGGGATCCCAGCCCACCACCTCCCTGCTAAATGTCACAGCTTGACTCCAAAAAGCCAAGGTCACCCAAGGGGCCTATCCCGTTCAGGGGGAAGATGCCACCATGTCATCCTGCAACGGGAGGATCCTGTCCCAGCTTCTCACTGCCCAGCATGCAGCAGGACTAACTCCCTCTGGGTGCAGCAGGACTAATCCCCTCCAACTCATTCTGCTTGGGGTGCAGCAGGACTATCCTCATCCCAGCTCCACTGCCTGGGGTCCAGTGGGGTACTCCCACCTCAGACCTCCCTTCCCAGGTGATGTCATGAGGCATGAGAGCACTGGAACCTATATCCCAAACCCCACAAACCCCTCAAAAACCAGCACCAGGCCACTGCAGTGCCAGCACAGGCTGATTCCACTCCTGCAAGCCGTGACTCCTTGTGGGGACCGCCTGGCTGGGAAACTCTGGGGTGCACCCACAGATCCCAGTTTGGGGATCCAGCTCTACCTTCCAGCCCTGCTGAGTGTGGGAGGAAGCCAGCCCTGCTGCATGTAATGGAAAGAAGCTGCCACAGCCCTTTCCTCCCCTTTATTGCCCTGCTGATGTGTTTGTGTCTGCCAGAGGAAGCGCAAGGACAAACGCCCGCGTACGCCTGTCCCCTCACTGCCCTCAACAGGTCCTCAGCCCACTGAGGGGAAACTGAGGCAGGAGGAGCCCCCCAATCCCTGGCAGGTCAGTAAAGGTGCCTGAGTGTAGCCCCCCAGAGCCCCCTCCCAATCCCTGGGGACAGTGGGGGCCTCCCCAAGCCCCTCCTGCTTCTCCAGGCTGTGAACACGTATCAATTACCGTTTGATTCATGATCCACTCTGCAGGTAATTGCATTGGAGCTCGTGGCAGGGAGGGAGAGGAGGAACAGACATTCTCAGCCTCACCCCACTGCAGGGTGTTGGAGGGCAATAATGCCCCAAGCCCTGTATACCCCCTATATGCCCCCCTAGGCTCGGGGATGGGAGTTCCAGATGCAGTCAGTACCCAGGATACCAATGGGAACGGGAGTCCTGTGGTATTTTGTGGGGGATGAGCTGTTCCTCATCTACCCTGGGCTGGGATGTGCTGGAGAAGGGGCAGGATCCATCCCTACCACTCACTCCTCACACATCCTGAGTCACATCCCATTGCCACAGCCAGGACTGGCTGGGGCTGCATCTCTGCCCCACCATGCGATCCACTCCTCCTCCTCCTCCTCCTCCTCCTCACTGCCACTCCAGCGCTGGTGGTCTGGGAGAAAACCAGTCTGCCCACTACCCCCCAACATGGGTGTGTTTTGGCCCCCCCAAGCTGGGAGTTGTGGCTCCCTTACCCCCACCCCCAGATCCCCTTGGGGGGCTGTGTCTGGGATTCAGAGCCTGCCCCGCTGTCAGAGCCCTCCTAGGTCGGGGCCAGAAGGGTTCTGGAGGGCTGGGACCGACAGGGATCACAGGGACCCCCAGACCACCGCACTGGGCGGTGAGGAGTGTCACATCCCACCCCGTGCAGAGCGACAGTTCCGATGTCCTCAAGCCGCCACCTTCCCATCCGGAGGGGAAGGGGGGCTCATTTCCCCCCCGCCCGGGGCACACTGGCCCTGCTCAGCTTCTTTCTCTCCGTCAGCAGCTTTCGGCAATTTCCCAGAGAGCGTTTCCTTCCCTTCGTTTCCCAGCTTGAATCTCCAGCTCCTCGCTGCTGTCGTGAACCCACAGCCCCCTGGAGCCCCCCAAGCAGCTGTACCCCCAGGGGGACCAAGACCGCGGTTCTTACACCCAAAACCATCGGCACGCAGGTCAGGGATCCATCCAGGCCAACAGACAGGTTGCAAGAGGGGAAGAACCCCCCTCAAGTCACCCCCTCCCCAAATTTGGGTGTGCTCGAAGGTGCAGGAGAGGGAAGGACCAAGTGTTTTCCCACCCACATACTGGGATGCAGCTGGTGTAAGGAGGGTGGGGGGCTCAGAGCTGAGTCCTGCTGAGGGTGCTGAGGGGGCTCTGTCCTTCCCAGCACACCCACCCGAGCTCTGGCGGCAGAATGGAACACGCAGCCGAGCTCTTGAGGCTCCCACTGCCGGAGGGGCAAGGGGACACAGGGAAAGGGGGACTCCAACCCCCCCCAGAAAAAACGAAACCCCCAGACACTCCCAAGCACATCGCACCCCAAACACCCCAGGACAGAATGGACCCCCAGCCCGAGGCCACAGATCCCCGGGGACCCCCAGGGTATCCCTTTCCCCAGGGTCGCTCACAGTGTCCTGGAGAGTCCCCATGGCGCGGCCCGACTCCTGGCACGGCTGCCGGAGGGCGTGAGGGTCCCCTCGGGACCGGGCCGGCCCCCCCTCCCTGCCAGTCCAGCCCATTTCCTCCCGGGATCCCGCCGGGATCCGCACCCCCCCAGCCCCCCGCTCCTCCCTGAGGGATGGGGACGATGACACAAAACGGCACCGGGAGCCCCAGTTGTGCCTCAGTTTCCCTGTCAAGCTCTCCCCATTGGGGTTCAGAGCCCCCCCACTAAAAGGGGGAGAGAAGCGGGTGCAAAGGTGCTCGGGAGAACCCCCTCCGCCCTTGGTGCGGGGAGGGATGAGGAGTCCGAGCCCCGACTCCCAACCCCACCCCACAGCATAAACACGGGGACCCCCACAGCCCCCCGGACCGAGCGGGAGGGGACGCGTGGGAATGGGGGTCCCGGGGGGCAGAGGAGGCGAGTCGCATGTCGTGGTTTGGGAGGGGAGGAGGGCTGAGGGTCCCGGCTGGAAGAAGAGGTGCTCGGGGTGGGGGTCCCCAGTAACAGGGCAGGTGAATGGAGTGTCCCAGGTGTCAGGGGACGTGGGTCGGGGTCCCGGGTAGGAGTTCCCGGGTGGGACGGGGAGGGGGTGGGTTGAGGGTCCCGGGTGGAACGGGTGATAGCCGGGATTGGGGGGATGCGGTTGGGGATGGAAATCCCGGTTGAGAAGAGGAGGGTCCCGAGTAGGAGGGAGGTGCGGGGCGGAGATCCCGAACGTCCCTACCTGTAGCGCCTCAGGGCCGGGAGCGGCGTCCCCCGCCCGCAGGAAGCCGCGGCTGAAAAAGCGAAGGAGCGCGATGAGGAGCCGCGGCACCATCCCGGCACCATCCCGGCACCATCCCGGTCCCGCTCAGCCCCGCACCGCCCGCGGGATGCGGGATGCGGGCACGCCCCCGCCGCGACACGCCCCGCCACGACACGGCCGATCGCGACACGCCCCGCACCTGCTCTGCGGGACAGCGGCTCTAAGGACCGAGGGTGGGCTGGGGGTGCGGGGTGCCGAGGGGATGGGACATCGCCCCCCAGCGTGGGATGGGGGTCCCCGGTGTGGGGCGGGGGTAGAGAGGGTGGTCCCGATGTGGGAATTGGGTCGGGGTGTTACTCCCCAGTACTGGGAGGGGGTCAGGAATAGGAGTCACAGTGTGGGGTGCTGAAAGGGGAACAGGGATGGGGCGGGGGTGCCCATGTGGGGAGAGGATCAGAGCGTCGCTCCCCAGTTTGGAGAGGGGCTGGCAGTGCTCTCCTTGTGGGGCAGGTGCCGGGTGTGCCGTCACGGGTCTGGTATTTGGGAAGGCGACAATCTCCCCCCGTGTTAAACCCTCCCCTCTCGGGAATGGGGCCGGGAGTTTCCCCCTTGCCCCTTCTCCCTTCTGGGGCATGTTTCGCGTCCCAATAAAGCGACCCCTGCCCCCCCGTTTGGGTTGGGGCGGTCTTCCCCTCATCCTCCCTGATGGAGGGGCCGAAATCTCATCCCATCCCTTGCCCCAGGCTAACTGATGCAGGGCTCAGTAGAGAAAGTCTTCCCTGCCCCCCATCCTATACGATACTGAAGGGGATCCTACGCAGCATCCCTCTCTTGGATAGAGGGGAACCCTCATCTTGGGGACATCTTATTCGCCCCTACCCTCCTATATTAACCCCCCATTGCCACCTCCTCCCTCCTCTCCTCCTCCGCCCCGACATAAGTACCGGGATTTCGGGATGCTGTCCCCATCCCAATGGCCCCTGGGAATCTGCATGGAGGGTCAACGTGCTCAAATCGACTGTCACACGATGGCCACATGCCACACGGTGAGAGGGACACCGGCAGCGCGACAATCTCCATCCCTCCTCCTCCTCCCAGCAGGAGAGGAAGTTCTGGTCTGGGGGAGGATGGCACTCCCGTGTCCCTGCAGCCCTATATCCTTGCCCCTCCATGTCCCTGTGTCTCTGCAGCCCTGTGTCCCCCTCCCCACCCACTCCCGTGTCCCTGCACCTCTCTGTCCGTGTCCCCAGGGTGCTCTGAGGTTTGGCTGGGGGCTCGTAAAGGACTCAAAGCTTCTCGCATCGTCTCTCAACCCTCCTCAGGACAGGCGGTGACAAGGAAATGCCATCTCGAGGCGGGGTAGGGTTTAGGGACACTCCGCATGCTACACCCTCCATCTTTCTCCCGGCACCCCGACCCGCAGGATGCCCGGGGAGCCCGGAGGAGGGTCGGGGTGGCCCGTGGAGCCGCGGGGACATCTAGTGGCCAGGGCCACCAGGAGCTCCCGGCCGGTCCCGGACATTCTGCCCCAGCCACCCCGACCTCCGCCTGGTCCTGCCCTGGGGGTGACACAGGGCGGTGGGCGTCTCTCCCCGGGGGTGGCACAGCATCATAAACCCCTCAAGCCCACGCAGCCCCCCCAGAGCAGCGCCTCACAGTGCCCATCTTTCTGACGGGACACCACCAGAGCTGCCAGATCCCCAAAATCAGGGTGTGGAACCCCCCCCCGCTATTGGGTTCACCCTGCTGCAGGTACCAAGTGTCACCCCAGCCTGGCCAGGTCGTGCTGGCACGGGGACACAGCACGGAGCTGTCCCTGTGCTCACCCAGAGGTGCCCAGGGACAGGGGGTAGGACACGGGTGCAGGGACACAGCAGCTGCAGGGACATGGTGGGGACAGGCTGGGGGCAAGTGGTGGGACACAGGGGTGTGAGCACAAAGGTCTGGGGACAGAGAGTGAGACACAGGGACACAGGGACTGGCAGTGTAGGGACACAGGAGCACCTGGGGACAGGGGAATGGGAGACGGGTGCAAGGATGCAAGGGTGGAGGGATTGGTGCTGCAGTACCACCATTGCATCCATGCATCATTGCTCATTTCCCAGTCAGTCCCGGGGTAATTATTGATTCCTGGCCTTTCTGTGCACTCCAGGAATGGCATTCCTTGCACGGGAGCATCACAGTACTCAGATGGACACACACAGCCTCAGAACTCAGCCCTGGAGCTGCTGGGAATAAGTGTAGGTGCTGAGGAGAGGCAGCAGCTGGGCTTCCCATATTCCCATCCATCCTGTAGTTTTCCCTTGTTCCCAACCTGGAGTGGATCAATCAAGTGCTGTGCCTCCTGTCTCTTCCTGGGGACTTGGGGAGCAGCCACGCCGCATCCCATCTGGAGGGTTTCTGATGGCATCAATGGGAATAAAGTTCATGCAGGCAAGTAAATATTAACCTTTACTCCATGTTAATGGAATATTCCACACCAAAGACACCGAGATAAACCCCACTCCAGTTTTTCCCTGGGAGGTGCTGGCAGCAAATTGTATCAAACTCCCAAAGTTGAAGATTTTGGGGGGGGTTAAGGCACCAAGATAAGCCTTCACACCCTGAGTAACCCTGAAATCCCATTTCTCCCCATCCCTGGCAAGTGCAGCAACCTGCCCTTAGAGCAGATCTGTGGGCATACTGGGAGCACTGGGATGGGAGGAGAGCAGGGCAGGAGGGCAGCATGGCTGGCTGTTCCCAGCTGGGCCAGGACTGCTGTGAGCCATATGGGATCAGCAGTGCTCCATTAAACTCTGGCACTGGTGTGGAACCAGGGCTAGATGCTGGCTCTGGGGAGGCACGGGGCTGTGATGCCTTCTGGAGTGTCCCTGTCCTGCAGGGAAGGATGGACACAGTGGCCAATGCAGGTGCCACATGGGGATGGGGTCCTGCCCATGGAATAGGGGTGACAGAGACTCAGCTCAGCTTGGGGGACATGGCCACTAATGGACCTGCTGCATCCATGAATGGATTGGGGTGTTATTTCTCTGGAGCTGCTCATCCAAGGTACGCTGACAGCTCTAAATCCCATCAGAAATCAATCCATCTGCTCTTCCTCTCTGCACTAATCCCCACAATGGCAGCCAATCGATATCCCATTTACTGCCCTGTGGTTTCCCCATGGATACCCCATGGATAAATCCCACCCAGTGCCCAGGATGAAGCTGCAGTGCCCAAGTGGGGCAGGGAATGATGTGGGGCAGGGAATGCTGTGGGACAGGGAATGCTGTGGGGCAGAGAATGCTGTGGGACAGCAATGCCAGACACAGTGCTGGGGGTGCCAGGAGGCTCCATGGGCATTAGGCATGGACCCCCTGGGAGCAGCAGGAGAGTTGGGAATGTGTGGACTCAAGGAAGAGCTGTGTGAGTGTGTGTGTGCACCACTGCCATCCCCAGAACAGCCAGCACTGGCAGGGTGGATCCAGGATACAGGGGGATCCCTTAATCCACCACAGCAGCCACAGCCCCAAGTGATCTGAGTGTCCTGGGGTGTCCTGGCACCATCCCCTCAGTGGGGATGGCCCCAGAGGTACAAGCTGCAGGGACCTGGGGCTTGGGCTATCATTGGATTCAAAGCAGGATAACAAAGGGATGAGGAAGTCCTGTGCTCTTCAACATCTTTATAAATTACTTGGCCACAGGACTGGAAGTTCGGACTAAGCAAGTTCACAGACAATAAAAAGCTGGGAGGGGCTGCTGACAAATTGAAGAGTTGGACAATTGCCAAGTGTGTGAAGTCCAGCAAGGATTCTGCACCTGGGATGGGGCAGCCCCGATGTACAGACTGGGAAATGATTTGCTGGCAAGCAGTTTTGGGAAAAGGGACCTTTCCACGACAGCAGTAAGTTGAACAGGAGCCACAAGAGTCACACCCATGTCCTGGGGGGGCATTAGCCCAGCATCACCAGCTGAGCAAAGGGGGGAATTGTCCCACCCTGCTCTGCAGCTCAAGTGCTGGGGGCAGGTTTGGGCATCACAAAATAAAAAAGACATTAAAGCCACTAGAGAGAGTCTAAAGGAGGGCAGTGAGGGTGGTGAAGGGCCTTGAGGGGAAGCTGTGTGAGGAACAGCTGAGGTCACTTGGTCTGTCCAGCCTGGACAAGAGAAGACTGAGGGGAGATATTAGGAAAAGATTCTTCACCCAGAAGGTGAAGGACACTGGAACAGCCACCCCAGAGCAGCAGCAAGGCTGACAGAGTTCAAGCAGCATTTAGACAGTACTTTTGGGCATGTGATGTGACTCTTGTGGGTGGTGCTGCACAGGGCCAGAAGTTGGACTTGATGCTCCCTGTGGGTTCCTCCCAGCCGAGCAGATTCCGTGGGGGGTGACAAAGGGATGAGGAAGGGCCCAGATGATTAAGTGACACCCTGATGAGCGAGTGATGGAGCCCTTAGAGGGCCTCTGTGGAGACATTTCAGAGCATGGCAGGGGCTGGGGGGTCACCAGTAGCCCCCACACATGACAGGGGATGTCATGTGTCCCCCCACAATTAGGGGGACAAATGGGATGGCAGAGCCCTGTCGGCCCCACTGTGGTGGTCAGGTCCCTGTGGGGCTGAGATGAATCTTGGCTCGTTTCCATACCTCTCTCCCCATTATTTGGCTGCTTTCCCAGCTGGCTCAAACACTCCTGGTGGACAAGCTTTAGGCATGGTGGCCAGCAGCATCTTCAACCTGGCTAGTGGGATTTCATCTGTAGCCTGTCCCATGAGATTATCCTGTGTGGGCAAGGACAGAGCACACCCCCAGTGTACCCTCAGGGGGGTGAGGGAGAGGGGATGTCCACAGGGGATTAGCATATGCCATGGTGAAAGCATGCATCCAGGGGGACAGTGTGCATCCAGGGGGACAGTGTGCATCCAGGGAGACAGCCTGTGTCCAAAGGGACAGTGTGCATCCAGGGGGACAGCCTGTGTCCAAAGGGACAGCCTGTATCCAGGGGGACAGCCTGTGTCCAAAGGGACAGCCTGTATCCATGGGGACAGCATG